CCCAGCGCGCGCACATGACCGAGCCGGTGGTCAGCCAGTGGTCGACCGCCCGACCACAGCGAGCCGGCGGTCCAGCCAGTCAGTGAACCGGCCGATTCAGACCGATTACTTGAGCAGTTCAGTATTCAGTCACCCGGTCCGAGTTCAGTACAGTATTTCAGTTGATTTTTCAGTCCAATAAGTCCAGTACACCGGTATCAGTTCAGTCCGGTTTTCTTGTCAATCAAGTTAAACCCCGAGATTATTCCAGTTAAAGGTTTAGATCGAGTCGAGCATCTTAACAGCTATTTTTAGTCAGTCTGAGCATAGTACTTAGTATTTGTTTATTTATATATATTTTTTTATAGATTGATCAACAGCAGCACTTACACATTCAGACTATCAGTTCAGGAGGGGACTCAGACTGAGTATTACATTGAGTATAATTACAACTATCATGTTCGAGGTATGTATATACCAGTTTCGCTTAGAGTGGTGGCCAGTTGCGTCATTCCACTCCGAGTTCTAGTGGCTAGATCTGACCACTAGGGTGTGCACATGGTTCCGACTGAGTTTTATTACAGTCGGCAGACACAACTTACTGTCCAGTCTTATACTGTTGATGAGCCAGTAACAGACATCAGCAGATATACATGCGATTGATCATGATGATGCAATTATGATTATTGTTTTATTTCAGTATGAGTTTCTGCTGAGCACAGTGGCTTTAGTGCTCAAGCTCCCACTATATTATCTTTTTAGGTAACAGGGTCGGTCCAGAGGAGTGAGCGGAGCAGGTGGTCGATGATCCAGTACATATGCTTTTGCAGACTTGTGATATGTATGTTATTTGCCACGTCTTGACTTCCGCTGACGTTTTCAGACTTTCAAACTCGCATGTCAGTTTTTAGATTTTCATCTGAACCTTTTAGTCGGATTTATACAGTGTTACATGCCGGTTTGATAAATGATAATCCGTTTTTCTAGATGTTTTTAATTTAGCTAAGTTAACGGAATTTTAGAAAAGAAATGTTTTTCTGTAATACCCCAAGTCATGATTTCGCAAACTAAACCGTAATTTCGGAAAAGAATTTGCAAAAATTTAACTCTGATTTTAATAAACTAGCAGGGTGTTACAAATTGGTATCAGAGCACATTTTTGTGTGTCTGAATACTTTTTTTTTTTTTAAGTCAGAAATTTTCAGAAAAGATCTGACCACGCTATGCTCACGCCT